GTTTGCAGCTAACTGAGCGAATATATCAGGCTGCACATACAAAATGAGAGAGGTTGCCTATTTGTCCACTTTGGTGTATTTTAGAATATATTTCTGTACTGGATAATTCAATAGTAAAATAATTAAGTATAGTGGACTTAATATTACTAACGGGAATGCTTGTAAGATGTCATGATAAATCTGTATAGTTGGTGAAGCGGATGATGCCCTATTTATACAGCAAACTTGGCAACTAAAGGATGAAGTGGGCAGGGTTCCTTGCGGGACAGCGAATGACTTACATTTATGAGCATTTTATTTTTGTGAATAAACGCACATATATAATTACACACACACACACACACACACACACATATATATACATATATATATATATATATATATATATATATATATATATATATATATATATATATATATATATATATATATGTATGTATGTATATATATCTGTAGTCGGTCTCTAACGATGTCTATGATTCGTTAAAGTAATTTTACAAATATCTACAACAGTAAAGAAATACGGTTGTGGAAATGATATCAAAATGTTATAATTATTTAAAATACAAAGATTGACTCTTAACTGCAACAGGTGTCTCTGAAAAAGCAATGTTTCATAGATTTGACAGCTGCGCGCCTAAGCAAAAGATAATAATATGTTTCGACAGCAGAACCTGCGAAAGAGACAAACTGATTTTTATTTGATGTGAAATGTTTCTGACTCTCCGGCCTCGGACATACTATGTATACTCGTATGTATACATGCACACAGACACACACACACACACACACACGCGCGCGCGCGCGCACACACACACACGCACACACACACACACACAAATGTATCGCATGTATTCCACGTGAGTTAACTTGAGAGAAGCATTAAGGGCATGATACCCGATGAGAAAGGTTGATTCCTTGGCACGTGAAGCACCGCCTTCGGTCGTACATAGGTATTTGTTAAACAAAGATGCTTATGGTTATGGAATTCGAGTGGAATAATAATCTATATCTTATCATAAAAAAAATCTAAGCTGGATAAGTCCATAACCATCGGTTCCGCCGTGTGTAAATGTTCAGTTGCCCTCTTTTCTCATTCCCCGATAACGAATTGCAAAAGTCTGTAGTTTTCTTTCCTTTCCTCGTGGTCGTTGTATAGTAATATCGTGGAGGGAGAAACCTAAGTTAAAAGATGAATATAAGACGTACTTAAAGAAAGGGAGATGCTTGACCTGGTTTCCATTTAAATAAACTGAGACCGTTCTAAACCTAGAATACAGGAGAGCGTTAGACGGCAATGTTTTCTGACGTTTGTCTGCCTCGGTGATGGGAATCCCATTCAACTTGACGACCTTGGCTTTCACCTCGAGCAGAAAGTTTGAAAAGTCTATCAAATGACCATTTGTTGACGGTATTCGCAATTCATAGTAATGTGCTTTTGAAATGTTACTTCCACTGGCATATGCCGACAATATTGTTTCTCTATATTTACTTTCTATAGAAGTTTCCACGAGTCTTTTTTTGTTGACGCGCGGGAAATTTGAGATTGAGATCGCTCACATATTTGATAAGGGTCATAACTAATTTATTCTCTGCAGGCGGTTCGCTCATACTCGACAGGCACCTGGCTGTATGTCTAACGATATCTTTCCCTTTTATACGTCCTTACTCCTTATAAATATAACTAGATGTTGTTATTTGTCTTTTTATACCCCCTTTTTTATTTCCTCTTCTCTTCCCGCCTAGGACACTCCCACCCTCTTGACCACAGACAAACCCCTACTCTTTAATCTTTTAAGGATCTTCCTTCACATCACCTAAGACTTGTCTTGCTATCTCCAGCGCCGACAAGGCAACATGCCTCGTGATGAATGGTAACGCTTTTCTGGTTATTCCGGTCAGAACAATAAATAGACCCATTCTGAAATAATCTATAACATTGTGCTCCAAAAGACTGGTCCTCGTGGCTGCTATGTACGTGAACAAACGAACAAATAAGCAATCCTCTAATTAATCTATTAAGATTTGAAATATTTCTGATTTTATGGCCCTGGAGGTTGTTGCACACTCACACACACATATAGCTTCGCCCGGGCCTTCCATATATGGCCCGGCCTGTGTCTCATTTTGTTCTATGACACTCTGTGCTTACCGTGGCGTTCGGCTCCCCACAATGCATGCAATACCTTTCTTCAGGGTCTATTGTCTCTATGATCTGCCATGCACAGTGGTAACCTAGTCTAATTCTGTGAAAAATGACTTTGGTACCTCTGTTGATTACTTCAAAGAGTGCCAGTGGCTCATAGCCTGTGGCGTCTGAGTACCATCTGGCCGAGGGGGAGGATCTCTTTTGAATCTGCAAGAGGAAGGTACGAGCGGCCGCAGTACACTTCTCCTTCAGGATATTTCGGTTTGATTGTATAATAATGGAATTTGGGGGCATACCCCTGTCAATGTCGGCTAGTCTGTCAGCAAGCTCGTTCCCTCTGATGCCAATGTGGCTGGTGACCCAATTAATGATTATTCTTCTACCCTGAGCAGGAATCCCTGCGCTATGACAAGCACAGTGGTCAGGAGGTAGATGTCTTTGGGTGAGCTCTGCTGAAGAGTCAGTGGTTACCCTGGAGTCTGTATGTATGACCACACGTCCTTCCCTCAGGGACGCATGGGATAGGGTTCCCATGATTGCAACTGCCTCATGGATTTTGTGGCATCCCTTGCTGTAAAGCTGGCGCCTGCAGTGTGGCTCAAGGGATCAACTGATCTATCCGTGAAGTATGTTCTACTACCCGGAGGAGTGATGGCTGCAATGACCCTCTTGCCTTTAGACTAGGCATGGGGTATTGATTCTTTCTCCTTGACAGGCTCATAACAGAGAACACTATCAAGGTTTGTGCCCAAGGTGGGGTTTTGATAAAGTCAGGGTGGGGGGAGCCCATGCCTTTAGCAAGTAACTGTTCTTTGAGCTGAAAGCGTATCAACACCCTGGCTGTGTGAGACAGCCAGGAGTTGTTTCCAAAGAGCATGTGGTCTAAGCGTTTGAGTATTTTTTGTCTTAGGCTTGTGTTCCTGGGAGCCTGGATGACCTTTAAAAGGAATTTTGCTGCCATTAGATCATGAATGGCAGAATGATCCTGGCAGCTTCATTTTGAAATGTCTTCAATTTACCTTTAATTTTTTTCTTTGTGGCAATCAGAGTGACAGAGGCATAGTCCACAATGGGCCGGACGGTATGTACATAGAATGCTCCGAGTGCTTTGTGTCTGGCTCCTATGTGTCTCCCAGTCATTGCTCTCATGACAGACAGTCTTGCTTTGGTTTAGTCAACCAGGTACTGGACTTCCTTGTAGAAGGAGAGTGCCTGGTCAATCCTTACCCTAGGGTAATGGAAGTCCTGGACCCACTCCAAGTCCATTCCCTGGATTTTTAGTCTTGTGCCTTGAACATTGTGTCTCAGAGCCATGGCATTTGATTTGGCTGCAGAGATCTTTAGTCTTACAATACTCCTCAGATACAAGGTCCAGGCAACACTGGGCTTTATTTAGGCAGTATGGTCCAATGGAGGTGATTGCTAGATGGTCTACTTAGGAAATGATCTTGCGCCCCACTGGGAGGTGTATCTTGAGGATACAGGACATTAAAGTGTTGAATAGAGCTGGACTGAGAACCCCACCCTCTGGCATTCCATTTTCTAGTGGCATGTGCTGTGATAGGTGACCTTGGAATCTGACTCTGGCTGTTCTGTTCCTAAAGTAGTCACCTATCCAAGCCAAGAGCTTTCCTCTGATTCCCTTCTGGATCAGGGTCTCCTGAATGGCAGGACTCGCTAATTCAAAAGCCTTCTCCAGGTCTAGGAATACTACCACTGAAGTGCCAGTGCTAACTGTACTTAACCCATTTGCGCCGGGTAAAAATGAAATATCTTTACACTAGATGGCTCTGCCTTACCTGATTTCATTTGGCGGGAAAATGTATTTTTACTAGTGTTATGAATATCGATGGTTATTTTTATCATAAATATTATAATTACTATAATGTTATAAACATTAGTAAACAGAAAATAAGATAACGTAAAATATTTTCGTTAATTAGAGAAAAGAGTAAACAGGCAAGACAGGCAGTACAAGTACAAGTGTAGCCATCTATGTGTAAAAACAATTAAACAAGTAACCTCACAGTGGGCATGTCATGTATACGTGACACCCGGCGCAAATGGGTTAAGAGCGTGGGTGTGCTGTGTGCTGTGTTCATGTCCTTTGTGAACCCATGGAGGTATTCATGTGGGGGTCCCATTTTCCATTGGAGTCGGTTTAGTACCATCCTCTCGACCGTTTTGGCCAGACAGCTGAGGAGAGAGATGGGGTGGTACTTCCCTGGCTCCTTTGGTTTTGGGATGGGAACTATGGTAGTCCTTTTCCAGCTCTGGGGCAGAGTGGAAATTCCCCAGGACTTGTTGATGAGTTGCAAGAGTGCAAGCTCACCTGCTAGTCCTAGGTGGGAAATGGGGTACGAAATTCCATCAGAACCTGGGGATGAGCTTTTATAAGTTTTTCTTAGTTCCCTCAGAGAAAAGATAACATCCGAGTTATCAGGTTTGATATGAGCAAGTCAGCCTTGGCGTTTTTTTCTTGCTCTCAATTCGGCTGACAGACTATTGCTGCTTGTTCACACCATTAGCAGTCTGTTTGCAATCCTCTCTAGCGCTTCGTTTTTATATGAGCTAGTGCGGTCTAATGCGACACATTATCAACAAATTCATATTACTGCCATTCTGTTATTCTGAGGGCCACTGTCTCGATGTTCTCTTTTACTGGCGGTTTATAAGTAGGTAATAGCGTCTGTATTTAACGAATCTTGTGGGTACTACAATATCTGAATAGCAGAAAAAATAATTCATACCCGAACACATCTCTTAGTTGCTACTGCCGATGTGGCTTCGCAGTATCTCTCCATGACACGCCCAACGAATCTTCTCTTCCGCAACAAACGAGCAGCTAAAT